GCACGGAGGATCATGTCACGTCAGTCACTCGCCTAACCTTCTACCTGGCCTGACCGATCCGGACAGAGCACCGACATTTGGGAGAGAGCCCGATACCAAGGCATCCCTTCTCATGGTAATGCAATGCTTGGTTCTTTTTTATCACAAACAACCTGACGCGCCTCTAGTCTCCAGAACGCGCTAACAGTTGTGGCTGGAAAAGCTGTCAGCTAACAGGATAACCCGGTACTAATCGGGTCTGAAGGTCAGGCCGAAATGGCCTCTTCTCAATTTGGCCTTTTTGACACTCACTTGTGCGATCTGATGCACCCCTCTTCCCTTGAAGCCTCACTTTTATGGAGTGAAGAAGCCAGATCGTGCATGGCACGGGCAGACGGGCTGTCAGCCACCGTCGATCTCAGTCCTCTTGCCTTTGTTTTCCTCCCCCTAAAACGTTGTGGGCAAGTCTGCTTCACTGTAAACAAATTCATGCACAGGCCATCACTTCGCCCAATTCGCAGACTCCTACCCCGCGTGCAAAACTCACGCAGGTAAGAGGCATTAAATTCCATTGCAAATTCACGGAATGGGACGAATCCCAAATTCTAAGTTGGACAGTCACGATTTTCTTACAATTAGGCCTTAAACTTGACCACACACGGCTCCCTCTTACGGCCGACGGGACGACTCCCCCACTGTGCTCTGTTGCAGAATTTAGCCGTTCTACGTTAGCCCTTCCCCACTGCACTGATGACGTGCTTTGAAACCATGTCTGTCCGTGCCCGGAAGTCATACGAATGAGCAGAAGCTTATCCTCTATTCTTAGAATAAGGCAGTAAATACTGTAAAATGCTATCGACATGGTGGAGGGTACGCGGAGCAGCGGGGATTCGGGTTGTAAACTGAAAATTGTGGTCTCATCACTACTCTTTGAAAGTCAGCAGTTACAGAGGGAGCTACTTCGGACAAACCCACTGGAGATGCGTCACAGTGATGGGCAAAGGTATCCGTTAGCGGCTGCACAATCCACGAGAAATCAACCTGCGCGTATCCTTTCAGGTAAACTGAACTAAAGTTTTGACGGCGAAACAATGCTTTTAGGCATTGTTAACGGGAGGAAGGTAGCCTAATTGAAAATCATCTACTGCGAATTGGGTCGTAGTAGTAAAGGGCGCTTCTGATTTACCAGTCGCCCTCGTCAGCGGGGTCTGAACCCCGATCACTGAGCTCTCACCAATTGAGCTATCTGGTTCACGTACTGCCAGATGCGGTCGGAAATACGGAACGCCGCGTGCGGATGGCGCTAGCCGACCTATCCCAAATTAGGGGTAAGAACTTGAACACACAAATTCCAAGTGGCGGCATCAAAGTCCGAGATGATGATCGCTTCGAGTTGTGAGGCGGGATACCTCTTAGCCTGGCTGCTGGCTACCCCGCAGTGGTGGATAGTGGAATCGTCTTCCGCGGAGATCGCCTGCGGAATAAGCCGGCTTTCGTGGTCTGGCGAATAAGCAGTCGCTGACCAAGACACAGTGAAGAGGGCTGAGGTCTGGCCCGATGACGGCACTGTGGCATGGCAACCGCCATCAAATAAGTTTGTTAATCACCACTATCCTATGGTTAGGTTGTTGTTTCAAAGCACTTGAAACAATCTGAGCGACTGTTCGGGACCCGCCTGTACTAACAATCCCCAAGAAACTTCAGGAAATGGCCGATTAAAGTATTACGATCCACGATATGGTGTCTGCGCTACGTAATTCTGATCCAGTAATGCGGGCGAATAGCATGCGAGCACGGTCACCGTCGCAGAAGGAGCGGCTGGGTCCAGCTATCCAGATGCACTGTCGCAGACCGTCACGTGAGGAGGAGTACAATTCGCGATATCACCGAGGCCAGGTAAACCAGATAGGATCACAGCTGTACCAAGAACAAGTACTTCACGCTGTTTTTTCGTTCGGCGCCTTCTGACGGCAGAGTCAAACTCCACTCTCACACACACACAGCAGAGAGCCGGCAGACCGCACCGATGAGACCGAAAGACCTCACTCCTCAATTGGAGAAAAATTTGCGAGTGTGTAAAAAAGAAGAGGTGTACTTTACAAATGCGATCTAAAGTCAAGAAAAAATTGTTCACAAGTGGTTCTACTTCTTTTTGGCAGCCTTTTTTTCGAGTTTCGCTTGGGCTTCCTTCTCTTCAACCATCCGGAGGAATTTGGGGTCACGAGTATCTACATAGTAACCGAACCGATCACGGGCCTAAAAGAGATTATGAGGAGTTAAGGTCAACAAGAAGAGTAAAACCCACTTGTTCCAGGAGTTCTCTCTTTTTAGCCTGCAGGGCCTGCGTAGCGGCCGCCTTTTTGGCCTGTGTTGCCTCGTACTTCTCCAGCATTGCGGGCAGTCGCTCTAAGTTGGCAGAAATCCGGCGTATCCTGAAGAAGAATTACATAAATTACGATAGCATAATAGTCTTGAGTAGTGCTGGGGGAATGTGAATGATTGTTACTTCATATTTAACATTATCCTCTACGATTGAAGGTACCCAGATGTCAGTCCACAAGTATAAAATATTTGCTTATTGTATGTTACTGGTAAAATGTCAGTAGCATGTGCATTTGAATTTGAATACTGCGCGTTACCGGTCCCAATAGCCTTCATAAGCATTGTCTACTACCCTTAAATATACTGAACTACTGAACTAAAGCATCTTCCATTTTCGACATGATAGGTGGGTGGGGAGAAGCCTTGGGAAACAAGTAACTCGAAACAAGAAACTTTCAGAGGTAGGTAATGCTATTCTGCCTATATTACGCCCGCAGTGCGGCTACTGGTGGGGCTCGAGAGAGAGAGCCATAAGGCACAACAGGGCGAGTGAGTTCCGTAGAGCAATCGGTGAGCATCCTTTCTACCATTATCTCTTAGTATGCTGGCAACCCTATAAAATAAAACAGAGCCCGATGGCATCACTGGCATAATTCTACTCGATATGTGGTGTAACTCATGGAATGTTAACCGGAACGCCAAGGCGTGATTTCGGTTAGAAACGTTTGCTTAGATTGACTTGTAGGTTTGATTATCATGCAACAAAATGCCAGGATATTTAAGTAACACGAGGGCGTCGGCATTTGAATTGCACATCCTTCTGCTCGCCTGCGAAAACCTTACTCGCTAAAAAAAAGGGCCGCTTAAGTAGCATGCATTTTTTGCCGTTCAGATTCATAAGAACATCGAAAAGCAGACTTCGTAGAAAACATTCGCAAAATGTCTTTTCTTGCGTTTATTTTGTAGGCAATTATGTCTCTTTCGATTTTCCACACAAAGGTGTTCGTTCCAGTTTTAAAAATTTCCGATTCCGAATAATTTTTAACCCGACTTGCCGTTGCACTTATATCTGGGATTTCCAAACTACAAGCTGCAGACTTTTCATACGGAGTGAAATCATGCATTGTTCTATGCTATTACAAACACGTTATATAGGGCTTATAATATTTTGCAATGGGCCATGTTGTATACTTTAAAAGAAGCATGAATAAAGGACGAGTAAGAAGCTACCTGAATAAACTTTTTTGGTCTTAAAAACCTCACAATCGTAGGCGTTTTTAAACTGAAAGCTACCCTTCTTTAAGTAAACAACTTAAAAAATGTGCGATTCCCAACAAGAAAGGATGTTTTGGTCATGCTTTCTATAAAAAACGTCCGGAATTACAGGAGCATCGGAAATCGGTGAAAGAATAAATACTACCTAATCAGCCCTTTTTAATAACCACGATTTTTGCAGACGAGCGGCGACGCACAATGCAAAAGCCGGCGCCCTCGTGCGACTGAAGTATCTTGGGATTTTGATGCTCTGACCGAAAGGACATTTAAGGATTTCAGTTAACATTGCATGAGTTACGCCAGTCCCGGCAAGCCAGAACAAATGAGAAGACAGCCTCCAACAAACAGTTCGGATGGGGTTAAGAACTCCCTTCCACTGGTAGTTCTCAAGAACCTTTGAAAAAAGGCCTACAATAGGCATATAAGTTTGTACAGGCAAGGATGGGGTCTAAATGAAACTATCCTCGGTGACTCGGTGACTAGAACGAGGCTTTGGACTCTACGCCTCAGCGACTCTCTCTCTGTGAACACACAAGGCACTCACCTCTCCTCCGTTTTCCGTGCCTCTTCCTGTCTGCGTCGGGCTACTTCAGCCTTAAAGGTAGCGATGTCCGGTTCCAGATGCTCCTTGATTTCCCTCTCGCGGGCGATACATTCGTAGGAGTCCAGCAGCTGCCCTGGGTCCACACCACTGGCCAACCCGTAAATACCAAAGAGACGTCGCTGATAGCCAGGCAGTCGTTCGCGGCCCGTCCCCACCGGTAGGCATTGGGACTTTGCACGCGAGACGAGACTGTGGGGCAGGCGATTGATGTCGAAAGCCTTGAGCACACGCGGGAGATGCGGCGCGGCTTTCCATTCGGCCTCCCACTGCTGATAGACGTCAGGCTTGGTCTGGCTCAAATTGAAGTAGTCATTCAGGGAGTAGGGTCGCCGCCAGTTGCGAAAATACTTTTTTGTTCGCACGGGAACCCTTATGAGGGGCATGATGAGATGGCGTGTCGGACTCCGCAGCATGTTGCTGGTGCTCAAGGAGGACATACCGACGCGGTTTGTGAAAAATCTAAACGGCAGAAACACAAAGCCGGCTAAAGTGGGAGGTCTTAACAAGGTATGGTCAATGAGAACGGTAGTTGCGGCGGCGACGGCGGCGCCGACGGTCACTAAGATTATCTGATCCAGCGTGTTGTACACTTTTTTCCTGTCACACTACACTTTGCCAGGTTGATTCTTATGGTGGCCCATCGACTAAAATTCCAAAACCAACACCCTCTCCCTTGTCAAGTTACGCATGCACCAGCCAGCCAGCCAGTGCCAAGCATTCACACATGGGCGCAGCAGTCAACCTTCGGTCAGTTAGCAGCACAAGCTTGGCCTCTAGAGACCGCTTGTCATAAACTGGCTTAGCGGATTTTCTTTGATGGAAAAGTTACTTGAAAAAGTAAAACAACAGAAACAAGTTGCCCCCATAGGCTGGAATCATTGTTGACAGAACAGAAAAAACCGTTACTAGTATTATCAGCCGTCAGATTAACAATGTATTGTAAGCGTTAGGTGATTAAAAGCCCAGTGATGCCCCAGTTTCCGAAACCAGTAGGTAGATGAAGTGAGAGGATTGCTGAAAATGTCCATAGCATATGCATAGTTTTCATAAATTAGAAAAATACGGTAGTGTTAAGGAATGTCCAAACGACTTGGTGGATTTCGGGACTAATTTACTGTGGCTTTGTCGCCTGGCTTGATTTTCATGCAAGGTCAATCTTGTAATAAAAAACCGTCTATGGTAGACGTCATTCGAACATGAGAAGATACGGTAAGCTAGCAATCCAGTAGTGCGTATTCATGCTTCCTACACAAAGTGATAATAAAAAAGGTCCGGCAGATCCTTGGTGAAATAAATTGTCAGGAATATTTACGGTTCTGTCCAGTTATGCAAAAACAGCTGCTGACTGTAGAAGTAGAAAAGACCACTGTGGTCCAGCACGTCTGTATACAAGAAAAATCAGGAAACTAAGTCCCGAAAGTTGAGGAGCTTGAGGGAAATAATATTGGGACAGTTTTTCGGAAGCTACTTATGGCGGAGGTTAGTGATAAGAGATAATGAAAGTCGAAAAAATGAACGCTGATTATAACTACTCATAGGCGCAGTTAACACAAAAGTGATGCGGCTCAGGGTGCGCGGCAAGTATGATAGTTTTCTGACAGCCGAATAAACGACCTTGTCTTGTGGCGGTAAACTGTACAATCCTGGTTCATGTTCACAAGAAAGTTCAGGCAACAATTTTTGCATTTGTGGAACCTAGTTTCAGCAACCATAAGAGATTGTCCACTTGAAGTAGGTACCAAACAACGTCATAAAGCCGCTGCTTTGTGCATATTCACTTATACAACATTCAAAAGGGGCCAATCGTGTGGAGAAAGTCCACAAGCGATCGTGAGGCCTTAAGAGAGAAGCTTGGTGAAAACCGATAAACGGACATTTAGAGGTCAGAAATAAGATCGATTGGGTTATTTTTAAGCAGCAAATCGACTTCGTTAGAGATTACTAGAAGACCATACGTATTGTTCTCACGGTAGTCCATACGGCCACAAAACTGGTCGGGCTAACCTGGAAATCAGTGCACGTGATTAAACGAACGGACGGAAAACACCCGCCGTTAAGGTTTATTTGCCTGCTTAATGCATTTGTTATTTTGACCTATATTTTCTGGGCAATGATTCCGGCTGGCAGAAGGGGTTCTAGTTTACTTTAGTGTGCTGACTATTTGTGGACACTTTGTTTAGTAAACAAGTTGGTCGGATGAAAAGTGATTTAGCATGCCAACAGAAAAGTCTTAAAGAAGGTGAACGCGCATATCCGTTTCCATCCGTTAAACGTCTTGTTTAATCAGAAAATTGAACGGTCGATATTCCAAACCAATGGATCACACTGATGAACTTTGAGTAATTAAAACGGAAAAGCAGGCAGGATCTTAAATAGCGAATGCGTAAGAAATCTGTGGAAAGTGTGCCTCCGCCTGCGGTGCCATAAAAAATATCACTTCTTCATACAGCATCTATGAAAACATAACTCCCATGGATTGTGTCAGCAACACAAGTAAAGGGGGAAACGAGAATGGTAACGCCTGCAGGCGAACATCGACGCGCCGTTGAAGTGCAATACGCTGAGCCACTTTACCCAGCTATGCTATCAGTCCCCTAACGGACATTAGTGATCATGCAACTCACCATATTAAAACAACCGCATTAATAAAAGGGTCGAAAGGCAGCATGTTTCGCCCGTAATTAAGGCCAATGACACTAAACTCCAGTATGGCATTACCGGCAAAGACAAGGGAGACTGGAATGGCCATTTCTGGCTTATTAGCCGTCGTCATCCAGTGGTCAGAGGCGGGAAAGTCTAACAGACAGGTCGCGAGTTCGAGCCTCGGGTGTTCCATACTTGGGGTTGGGTATGGCTGGCTGACGACGGCTAATAAGTCAAAAATTGCCATCCCAGTCTCCCTTGTCTTTGTCGGCAATGTCATTCTGCCTATATCATACGCCGCTGTGCGGCTGCAGGTTGGGCCCGAGAGAGAGCCCTTATGGCACAACGGCACGAGTGAGTTCCATAAGAACGATCGGTGAGCGCCCCCTACCACTAATCGCCAGTCTAGAATCCGGCATTTGAATGCCGTGAGCTGACGTCGTATAGAAGGAACATATGTTCCTTTCGGAGTCACTTCATTATAGCAAAATACGCAACCTTGAGGCCGGCAAACCCATAAGGCAGACTTAGAACCTCAGTAAATACTGACGTATAAGCCTTCTCTGTGGGTTTCAATATTGAAACTCATAACGACGTAAATCGACTCACGGTTGACTGTCGTCCTGGAGATAACGATCGGTTGCATCGAACCAAGAAACATTAAAATGACCAAAGTGTTACTAGGAATCATGGGATGCTGAGATCATTAAAAGGAAGTGATGAGGCGAATACGAGAAGGGACCCTACGAAATTAGACCAGTCAGTCCTCAAAAAGTAACGGTGAAACGCCCCTTGACATAAACAGGATTATTTGAATGCCGTAACACTATTCGGCTGTAACACTATCCAGTGCGTCTGTAGATATTAGCATGAGCCAACTTCCAACACGCCAACTGCCGGTCCGACAAAGGAGGTCCGCGATTGATGAGGCGCTCTACCTGCTGTAAGGTGAAGACATATCATCGCCGGTAAGTTATGGAAAATAACGCTGTTATACCTTTCAGGGGCCGCAGGAGGACGCCGATGATTCTTTCGACACCATCCCCCTGGGTGACGACATCCTGACAACACTGCCGAAAGTGAATGGGCAGGAAGATATCCTGCTGCTAATGTGCAAACACATGCGGGCACGGTTGATGAAACTGGACATTGTAGTGGAGACTGTCCGCAAGTTACTTGGCCGTCAGCGGCTGTTGGAATCAATGATTCTACAGCAGGCTAAAACCTCGGGACCGGTAGCTTATCAGCTGCCGACGAACCCGCTTGACCACCAAATACGGTCGGGTGCCGATTTTCGTAATTTGAATGTCCGATTACTGGACAAGGGCTTTAGACAGCAGCTGGTATGCAACCATATTAATCACACTCTATTGCGTTAGACTTCCTTCCTAACATGCCTAGGTGGGCATAATATTGATGAATTCGTCAAGCGGATTTGCTTCGCTGTCTTCGACGATTAAATAAACCTATATGTTAATTTCGAAGGCCGAAAGACGAAAGAGAGCCTCAGCGGTTCGAAACTGTATGAGGTTATACTTGGTAAGTCTGCCGTTACTTACAACTCTACAACATGCAGAAGTCTTAGGAGCGTGGAATACCGATGCCACCGTAAAGCTGCCTGACCTTGAGTCGGCACTTACCATGCGCCTGAAAAGGTCGCTCGACAGTTGTGTCCAGCGTAAGAAGAAGTCACAACTGACGCAAGATGGCAGTGGTAAATTGATTGCCGTTTATCAGTAATCAAGTTTAACATGTAGACAATATACCCGGATCTTTGACTGATTCCCCGCCTGCGTGAACAGTGTGAACACAGAAGGGGTTCAGCAAACCTTTGTACATATTAATTTAAATTTTTTAAATAAACATATTCCAATATAACCGTCTCCAATGCACCTCTGGGTAAACGGGGGGAGATAAGCATACGACAGGGGATGGATGGGGGGGTACAAAAAGGGCATTGGGTTAAGCAAACGATTTCACGCACAGCATATTAACCCCCCCCCTTTTTTTTCGCCGATAGCGTAGTATCTCAATTAATCTATAACTAATAAATATCTATTTTTGCAACAAAATAGATATCCAGTCGATATATGAATCTCGATAAATAGATAGTTGATAGATATCTACTCGATATAGTTTGCCACTAGGGGTGCGGACCTAGGATGGAGATGGTGTCACACACGCCACACCTTCCTGGTCTCCTCAATTGACAATAACTTCGACAGGAGTCTGGCCCGTACTCCAATTCTGTCAATCCGCACTTCGTGTGTGTTTTGTAATCAATACTAAAGGGCGTTACACCGAGATAACCACGTACCCCGGCTTGTTTTTAGTGTATTAAAACTTAAAGTCAGTGGATTCTTTAAGTAATTCTGTTGAGCGTCATATTTTGTAGCATAATTTTAACGATATTTCTTTAAACCTGCTGCCCTCTAGTTTATTTGTACTTCTGAAACCGTCTTTCTCGGTATTAGCATGCTCACCAGAATGGTGAACCATAGAAACCCGTGTGGAAATTCCATGCCAGTGAAACTTCCGACATCATGGCTTTATGAGTTTTACTTTACCTACTTTACCTATCAGTGATCCGCTTTACAGATTCCGTTACTGCTTATCTACCTCTAAAAATTAAGCGAAAGCGAACTGATACGATAGGTTGGTGACCTTCTTATAAATTGCAGGCATTTTATTGATGCTGGCTGGATATCGACATGCCATAATAAGAAAAAAATGCCGATTCCACTTCTAATGAAGCATAAATTGTACGGCCGGCGCACCTACGACGATTATATTCTTTTAAACCATCGTGATTCAAGTGTGACGTTTTTTCGCCTCCTCCCCCACGCTGTATACTTTATGAGCCTTTAATCTCTTGCAGTTGATAAACCTGTTTGCAACTCAAAATAACTGCAAGCCAGCTTTATTCGGATTTTACTGCTTTCTCGATTTTTTTTTAACAGTTCCTATGGAAATGATGGAACGTAACATATCTTACTAGGACCGGCGACGTCGGTGATCGACATGCTGTTCTCGGTTCTGAATACTGACTCGATTAAACTTTTACTCTTTTCATCCTTCCCGGACAACTCTCTCTATGAGACTGCGAAAGGGCCACCAGGAATTTAGGACGCCGCCTTTAAATTTCCGTATTCGCTCATATTTCTTTCTTTTGTGAGTCGTATCGCTTCCTAGGATCCCTCATCAGAAATGTTAATTTTTCGATTTTTCAGTTCATGCATCGTGCCCTCATAGAGTGCGCTCTATCGACGCTCTTTTCGGAACCTTCTTTCGTCATATACTAGTAGTCTGGTCGCATCTCCCTTGACGACTCCTAGGCTTGATTCGACTAAATGTAACCGATCGCATCTGGCATATGAATTCTGCTCGTTTCGAACCTTTTACTTCATACCACATGCAGACCAGTGCTGCCTGACCCGACTACTTACTCCTTCATGAAATCCATTATAAAATGCCATACACAGGCCGGTCCTGTCTGTTTTTTATATATTAAGGAACGAGAGTTTTTTTTCTCCTATAGTTTTTACCAAATAATACTCATTTTGTTTATGTTAGGCGTTTTTTCACTGCTCGCTCAAATTTCTCAGTAACTTACTACTTACGAAATAACAACGAATTAAGTATTGTATAAATTGTTTATACCTCGTCTAAAATTCTAAAATAAGTGTAAAAAAATACTTTTACTTGCTATGAAAGGACCCCACGGGTCTTGAATAAAAATTACTATTACTCTTATAATTATTATTATGAGCATATTACATATTTAAACTACACATCAACATTACGGCTTGGAGGAAGTGTATCTACGGAGGAACCTACCTTCTTCCACCCCGTTGGAAAGCTCATTCGAACGTCTATTTCACTCAGTCGACTGGTCGTCTTTTGCGCAGGCCTTTCTCAAGTCTATCAACTATCCCGGTATACGTGTTAAAGCGTTTTGGCGAAAGTAAGCAAATTTACTGACTGTTGCTTAATATGGTTGCCAAGGTCTCTGTATTTAGCGCGGTACTTTCATAAATTTGGATTTAAAAAATCGTCCTACCTATCGATATTCTTTTGCGCTTTTTCGAGGTATATCTATTTAAATTCATTCTCAAATAACACACATAATAACTGGCTTAGTTTTGACTTTATTGCTGCTGACGTCAGCGTTCATCTAATGCTGTGTAAGTTAATCCTTTTCCCCGTCTCATCTCTTCTCTTCTCCCTGCAAGGTGTTCACTAGTCAGCAGTTGTCAACACCCCCTAAATTGTTTTTTTTTTAATTTCCTGTACTTGTGCATGGCAATGTGAATAGCCACATCCAGTATTAGGTAGACTGAACAATCCCTTCAGTAACGTGAACTGCAATGTGACACACGACAAGATTTGGCCCTACACTGTTCCTCGTATACGTCAACAACCGCGCAAACGAAACTGACTGCGATGTCGCAATGTTTGCTGATGAAATAAAGACCTGGAATACGATACAAAACGAAGTTGGCGAGGCGCGACTGCAGACAAATCTAGATCGCCTCGGGCAATGGTCAAAAGACTGGCTTCTACAGTTCAACGTAAACAAGTGTAACTTCGTACGCATCGGCGGAACCAGTTCTCTTAACCACATGTTCTACCGTCTGACTGGCAAACCACTGTAAGGGGTCGACGCCTACGAGGACTTGGGTATATGGATCACAAACTCGCTGAAGCCTTCGCCGCAATGCTCAAAGTCGGCGATGTCCATTCTATACTTCGTAAAACGGCCGTTATCTTCCTTTGATGAGGACTGATTTGCCAAGGTCTTTCGAACTTTTGCGCGACCGCATCTGGTGTTTGCTATCCAAGCATGGAGACCCTGGACCGCTGAAGACCTCGGAATACTCGAAAAAGTTCAGCGTCGAGGAAACTTGTATCTGGGCAGTGGTCACTGCCCTACGAAACATGATTATCTAATTTGATCTATGTCCTTTAAGTTACAGGCAGCTACGTGGGGACCTGATACAAGCTTTCCGCATTGTGAACAATCAGGGCTGCTGCCTCGCATCTGGAGACTTCTTCGAGTTGGCGACTACGACTAACCTGAGAGGCCATCCACTCAAACTACGTGTGACTGGTGCCCGGCTAGACACATGAAAGTTCTTCTTCTCCAACAGAGTGGTTGCAGCTTGGAATGCTTTGCCTGAGGATGTTGTTATGTCGGGATCCGTAGATGCTTTTAAACGGAGGTTAAATCAACATTGGAGTGTGCACTACAATAACGCCGGACTACAGCCACTTTGATAGCCAACGTTGGCGATGTATTGTTATGGCGATGCTACTACCAATATCCAAGTAGCATATGTTTATGTAACTTATTTATTTTAACCACGTCGCACACCGCTGCTCGCATTCACCATGATGCCTGCAGACTAAACAAATTTTACTTCTTTTCCCGTATCTTGCGTGTGGTCCAACTCTCTGCTGTATTTAATCAGCTAAACGAGTTCATATACCTTTAAATTCGGTTAATGCATGAAATTATGTATTCATTTGTACCGTTCTTGTTATTCCCCTTATATTTCTTTCAGGTTACTTCTGTTCCATTCTCTCCACTTACTTCCTCTGCATGTTACCGATAGGGATTTCAAAGATAGACACCTACTTTCCCTGAAATACACTGGCACTGACACAAACTTTCACCATTATTCAGTCACTTCTAGGTCAGAAATCGGCCTAAGATTAACCGATTAGAAAAGCAGGATCTCAAAAAAGGTCAATGCTGTAGGTGTGGCATAAATCGAGCCGGCAACCTTTTGTTACCAATTAGAGACTGGATTGGTAATTAACGCTGGGAGACCGTTTTAACAGATTTATTTACATGAACGGCACTCATAAATAAACTAGTTTTAACTCTCCCTTTTTATGTCTGGCACCCTCGAATTCCGCCTACTTATATAAATTTCTCACTTCAACCTTCTGACATACATGTATGATACACTATTTGAGGAAGAATCTGTCGAACTTATAGTAAATGTCTTGTCAAACTCTCTTATAAAATCATCCATATATTCTTGTATGGGATAAAGGCACGAAGTTTCGTGTAATTTTTTTTATAAAAAGTGTCATATCATTTAATGCGCTGTAACAATTTCTCACTAAGACATAGATCTTCCAGTTGTGCAGTAAATAATGACCAAATGATAAGTTAGTCTGTTGAAACTGCAGCCAATTCCCTTAGCGACAATCTCTGCATATATCATTGAGAATACATTGAAGCACTTCGAAGCATCTTACTCTAAAGGGATTAAATCGGCCAAAACTAGCTTCACTGCCTGCAGAAGAGTGGAGTAGAGAGGAATGACGAAGGAATCCTTGAAGAATGGAATGAAAGTGGCAAGAAATAAAATAACAGTGAAATAAGTATCAAGCACAACTTTTGCAGTCAAAAACACCCTGGCTTCAAACAAGAACTCTTAAAAAGTACTTGCTGAGGATTCCAGCATTGTTCTTGTCTTCACTGGACTCCCTTCGTCGGGAAAACTGTGGACGTCATTCTGAGGTGGAAGAACGGCCCAAGGCAGAAACATTTGGATGGTTGCCAACTGCCAGTAGACTCAGTCGGAAGAAATAAGTCGGGACGGCCACTCGGCTTTTTGGAGGGTAGTAGGGTGGGAGGAAAGATATGGTGGTCGCAAATAATGGGATGTTTTATATCAGTCTTTATCTTGTGATTGATTTCACAGCCCCTGAGCAGATTGTTTGGTCACTTTCTCGATCACTCCAATGAATTCCACATCGCCTCAGGAACGTCACATCCGGCTCCAAGTCTGTTCTATGTCAGATGCTTGAGAACGCTGTCAGTGTAAGTCGGCGAATGGGCAGTCAGACATTTCTGCGGCAGGTGTTCACCAAAACGTCTAGACAGATATTCAATCTCGGAATTTAAATGTGTTCCCCGTTTGCTGCGAAGGGTATGTATCACAGGGCTTCCAGCATGCCATGTTCATCTACTTCGGTCGAGAACTACCACGCTTCTTGTAAGTTATCGGTCTAGTGGGATAAAGACGAAACGTTCCTTTTTGCCGCATCTACACGGCTAGTGACCTCGCCCTAGAGGGTCCCACGCAGACTGCAAGCAAGTAGCACACTTTCAGCAAGAACTCAAGTAATCTGTTCACTTGAAGGAACCCAAGTCCATGGAAGGGCGATGATTCTGTTTTACATTGTAAAGACCTATGACACAATCGAAATCACTGGAACGGACTTTGACGAAGTCGCTGTGAGAATTCATCACCAGACCTGCACATTAATATAAGTAAGTTACAGTGGAGCGCAGAAAGTTGAAAACAAGTCGCTTGATTGAGTAGATGTCAACCAAGTATTTCGAGCTATCTGTCAGGTGCCGACCAGGCACTTTAAGTGCCTGTGCCAGCAGGTACTTACGACGGCAGAGGCGCCAGTTATACTGTCAGCCAACCCAACCTTGTGCTGTCAGCAGAAGTTCGTCCAAGCCCTCAAGCTTCCGTGGCCCATCCCGAACCTCATATCCTGCCACGCCATGTTACAGTGACGGCAAAAGTAGGCTAAAAGTAGTCCTTCCCCCTCATGACTACTGTCAATCAGAAATCGATTTATCCAAAAGCGATTTGCCCGTTCAGTTTATTCATATCTTCCATTGTCAGCTGTGTCCAAGGCCCAGGAAGGCAAGACATATTCACACCTCTCCGTCTGGCACGCCATCTCGATGCAGCACTTGGATATTCACAGTTCGGGTATATTTCAAAGAAGTGTCTAAATTATCCCCTTGAAGCGTGAATTCCGTTGTGTGGATTGGCAACCTGTACTTACTTGAAGAAATAATCTGACGGCAATTTTAGGAGGGGCGTTAGGAGTGGCAGGTGCATTTATTGCTTTAAGTTTTTTTCTGTCCAGTCGGGTAATTATACCGAAAACAGATGCTGCGACAGAAAAACTGTACAACAGTACTCTCCCTCGCTCTCTCTCTCTCTCTTTGTTGTTTGCTGCTCTTAATATCAACTTTCTTCTGGCGGTTTTCATTAAGTTGAACTGTGTGCTCTTTGCCCACTTGTTACTAATAATTCTTAGGGAGTCACCCATAGTGAGGGTGACAGTTGCCAAATCACCTAGAGAACGGGATGCGTCTGATCGTATTGCGATCGTATGGACTACAACTAGATTCGCTCCAGCTGACAAATGAAAATTAGTCTGGAGCATTGAGGGGACTCATAGGAAATAGGCTCCAGCAGATGGCGTAAGTGGTCACATCGAGTCGCTCAGGAGCATAATCCCAGACATTGTCTGAGTTTTTAGGAACAGATAATGCCACAATATTCGAATAGTTGGAAATCACAAATCAAGAAGAGCAAGGTATCCTGTATTTAACCGCCAGCATTTTTGACGTGAATTCCAAGACACAATGGGTTTCCATGTCAAAATACTGAAATCTCCACCGATGTTATTGATATCCTTTTTGTGAACATCACGGTAGCCAGTCCTAAACCTTGAGAAATCCTGCTGCATGGTAGTTCGGCCGTCGCGGATGAGGTCCACCACTGCTCCACGAGATGGTCCCAGTCATGACCTGCGCGTGAGTTCGTTTAGTTAGACAAACTTGCTCCGCACCTGCTTACGTGTTCTCGCACTCTTCTGACACCTTTCACGTCCCAGTAACAAGAAAAAATCTAGGCGTTGAAAAATCCAATACGACAAACTTATGTTTTCGGTCATTCATCATCAGGTTATAGTAAGGCAACCAAAGTTGAAGACGGTTGATGAATAGTAGTCATGGGGGGTTGAGGATTTGAGGACATGTCAGAAACCAGGACTAATCTTGCTGTAGTTCTGTCATAAGGAGGGGAGAAGAGAGGACAATCTTCCAGTGAGTTATGCTTAGGCCTCGTCGCTATAACGCTACGCAGCAAGATGCGAGTACGACTATGTGGGGAGAAGTTTGGGTCAGGGGAAGTTGAGGGCTCGAGTGAACGCCCTTTGCGGACACAAGGTTGTGTTGGCTAGCCATATGGCCACCGTCTCTGCCGTCGTAAGCATCCGCCGGCACAGGAACTGCACTTTATAGACGACCTAAATACATGGTCGTCAACCAGGTGAGCCACAACTGCCCTCGAGACAAACTTTTCTATGCCTTGACTTAGCCGGACGGAATTTGCTCCCGCATCCGCTTGGCTAGGTGCCCAGTCCTTTGACCAATGTGACTTCCTTAACAGAAACAAGTAAAGACTTAGATACACAATGAATAAGTCTCAAATGGCAGCCCATCCACATCTTCAAGGAGAAGAGACAGAGTGCTTAAGAAATTTGACTTTGCCTTAGCCGCTGGATATGTCCAAAAAATTGTAAAGTACAGGCAACATTGCAGTTCTCCGTCGTAGTCCCCTCAAAACGGCAGTGTGAGGAGTACATTCCTCTTTTAACCGTCGGTACGTCCAGTTTTGCGAATTGTTTACTACTAAGTAGGACGTCCATAAAAGGAAAGTATTCTCCCTGTCCGTTTTCCAACGTGAAGGTCGCTTTAAGAAGAAGTCATTACGGTCTGGCTGTGAATTATTCTGTCAGCTGGCAGTCTTCCAAGCCACTACTGATTACTCTTCGTGATGGTGTGAATCGAGTCAGGTTTGCTATTGTGAGGGATGCGCCGAGGGTGAAACCCTCCCCCGGACCGGCATCGGCGGCCCCACTCTCTCGTTCTTCCCTCGTCCCGTTGGTGTCAAACCAATTAGAGGTGAGGTTGGGCGCAGTGGCTAAAGTGACGTAAAAGTCTCTCTACTGCATTCTATACTAAGAGTTATTGCAACCTGATTCTAAGTCGTCAAATCAGCCACTCCAAACACGCCACGGTTCGACCTTCGTTGTCGACGATATCCACCGCTTGCTCCACAGTAGGGTGAGAGCAGGAACGGGGACTTGCGCGTAAACTAGCCTATAGTGATAGTAGCTGTCCGCAGCATTTACCGCAGTCACTCCTCCCTAACCTGGATCCGGCGTCATTACCAAGTCAAGAATACCAGAGGCGGGAGAGTTTGCAGGTGACTGGCATGGCGTGAAGCCAGATCTAGGCGCCAACGGACTGACATCGTCTTAACATTTCGTTCGAACAGTTTATTCATGTTATTATATTACTGCCTGTATTTCAGTAACGTTTGTTTTTTAATATTGTCCCAGGTGCGATGAATGTGAGTGTAAGCGTTCAATTCGTCTCTCTCAGAAACTGATATAACACCAATTATCCATAGACAGACTACTGGACAGCACATTTAGTAACATTACTGTTTTTAACACTTGGAACAATTCGTTTATCTGTCTGGTTTCGAAAACTTTGCCAACCTGAACAAAAACCTCTGTAGCTGTTTGATGTTTCCATTTCCAAATTTTTGATATAATTCGCTTCCTTGTAACAAATAGGGTGTTCAAAGGTTCAACACCTATACTTCGCTCAAATAAACCGAAACTACTACCACATCTCCTGCTCTGTAACATACACCTGACCAGAATTTTCAACAACGACAAATATGGGGGACGGCCCAAACCCTTATTGGCGCGTGGTGAGCCTGCGACTGGGCCTGTCGCCACACCCTCTAATGGATGCGCATCCCCGATGACCCCTGTCGGGCTCTGATCTAGCCCATCACCCCCCCCCCCACCCGTGTTTGTCCAGCGTATCAGCTGCGTGACCCGTCTTAGGGGCAGGCATGCAGACTCGGCGCGGACTGATAAACACGCATCATGATCCGCTGTGAGCCCAGCTTAGATTCAATGTACCCGCAGCTCAGCCTATTTATAGGTGTGCACTAACACACATTCCGTTTCAAACAGTCAAATATCTACCGTCTTTAAGCTAAAAACACTTTTTGGATGGTTTAGAACGCCATAAAAGTTATTGTAAGCATTTTTGTGAAGTTTATGCTTACATTACTTGGCCTGACAGCATGACAGTTGCCCACTGTTGTGCGTCTACAGTGCCTGCTTTAAGAGTGGATATTCACATATAACCCTGCAAAAATTATGTCTCGAATTTGCCGTCAGCGAGAGGTTTTATCGCTCAAATTCGAATCACAAACTAGGTACGACGGTTGGTTTGGCTATCGGTTGCTCCTTGAAACAGTAGCACGTCTAACCTCGCTGTCACCTGAAGAAAAATGGGGGTTCTTATCACAAGTCAGCAGGGGCTGCGCCTGTAAAGACTCCGGCATCATAACTCGAACTGTTTATCTACCAAGAATATACTACTGAATAGTTATTAATTGCCCATGTCTTAGACGTCATTGCCGAATGACACGTATGAACTCCTTACATCTGCCGATTCACTGCAATATCTCCGTGTTATTGGCCTAAGCATGAATAGACGCCGTGAAAAACAGGGCACTGCAGAGTTAAAGTTCAGTAGTAACCCTCGCTGAATGTAGTCGCACATTGCTGGTAAAGGCTTGGCGTCAATACCTTGTCTCCAGCCTCAGGAAACCAGACGTTTCTTCAGCTCGTTAACCTCTTCAGAGGTTAACCCCCTGACTTTAAATAAATCTTTCGGGACAAACCTCTGCCTACTACCTTTCGGCCCAATCGTGAAAACGCTTCTCCCGTACAGGTACGAACTTAGAAAATGTCCTTCTTTAGCAGAACCGAACAGTGCCTAGGTCGCTTCTCCAACTGATTTCTTACATTTGTGCCTGGACGTCCATGCATTCCGAAGAGCCTACTTACTATGTGGCTGGTTTCGAATCTAAAAGTGTGGATATGTCCACTTAACCAAAAAAATAATCCTTAGCAGATCCCATGTCTCTTATTGTGTGAGAAACCAAAGGTAGCGGTTACTGTGTTATCAAGCTCGCAAGATTAAGCAGTATTACTCTTGCTTGAACATCGGGTCGGTGGTTTGCCTCACTGTGTGGACGGCCTTCAGGCTTCTCGAATAAGGTTAATGCACTGCGGAACCTTCATTTAGAAACAGAACAGAGGCGATTAAAAATGGCGTCCGAAATCCCTCAGGACGGCTCTTCACCCTTAAGGTCATTTTCTCCCGTTTTATGACAATCATTCTTGGTTTTCTTTGGGTTAGGTTGTAAATCTTTGTTTGAGAATGCTGCTCCCACGAGTGCCCGATATGTTTGAAGAACTAGGTCGTTTAAGAATAACTCCTTATGAGTTCTTTGTCTTTGCATGATTCTTTTGGGCACATTATCTCGATCAGACAGTTTGACACCCAATCCTATGGGTTTGGCTAGTTACAGCAAATAACTCATTCGAGGCACAGCGTATTAATTTTAGAGAGGGGGGTGCTTTCAGGGTCGCACTTACTGGTTTCGAATTGCTCGCAAGTCTCCTGGATACACGATTATCATAGGCTGTTGAGCAATAAATTGTCCTCAATCTATCATTTAACCTATGCTATTATCCATTATTAGTAACATGGGCACTAACCCCCAATTATTTGGCCATATAGGCCTGCGCTAGTGGAAATTCCGGCAGCAGATGTCTGAATATTTAGCCACCATAAATATGCTATTCATAAGTTGTTAGTAGGTCTTGTTCATAACGCATCGCCGAATGACGCGTATGAGCTCCCTACCCCTGTCAATTCACTGTAATATTGCGCGCTAGAGGCCTCAGTATGAATAAAGGGTAGTCCAGACATAGTGTGTGTCGCTACGGGCTCGGGTACCATTGGCTATTTACGGCAAATGAGTCATGAATGACCAGTATAATGTCCGTGATTTTACCGCTAATATTGCCCGGCGCCCTTACGAGACAGTCGGAGGTGATGAAACAAAAACCACTACAAGCGCTATCAATTAGCATTTGTTTAACATATGTCATCTTACAGAAACTTCTCTATTTCAATTATGGTTCTGTCAAAATCACCATGGCAACG